CGAACCATCAAAACTCACTTTCGAGCCTTCTAACACATAAGTCAACACCCGATTGACTTTTCCAACTTAAGCCTTCTTAAAAGAGACTAAGTGTCTCATTTCTTACCAAATCCTCTCCGAACTCGAACTAATCAACTCGATCACATAAAACACGGATAACGAAGCATAAAGAAGCTGAAATGGGGGAGACGGAGCTGTAACTCATGAGATAACTGGCCGGGTCATCACATCCTCCCCAACTAAAACAAACATTCATCCTCGAATGAGTCAAGAAACATACCTGAATCCTCAAACAGATGGGGATATCTGCTTCGTATCTCCCGCTCGGTCTCCTAGGTAGCCTCCTCCATGGGCCAACCTCTCCACTGTACTTTCACTAAAGTTATATCCTTTGACCTCAACTTCCGAACCTGGCGACCCAAAATAGCTACTAGCTCCACATCAAAGGTCAAATCATCATCCAACTAAATCATGCTGAAGTCCAAAACGTGAGACGGATCCCCAATATACTTCCGGAGCATAGAAACATGAAATACCGGATGCACACTCGACAGGCTGGGTGGCAATGCAAGCTCATAAGCCACCTCCTCAATGCTCCGACGCACCTCAAAAGGCCCAATGAACTGAGGACTAAACTTGCCTTTCTTCCCAAATCTCATAACACCCTTCATGGGCGAAACCTTCAGCAAGACCTTCTCACCGACCATGTAGGACACATCTCGAACCTTTCGGTCTGCATAACTCTTCTGATGCGACTGCGCTATACGAAGCCTCTCCTGAATCACCTTCACCTTCGCTAAGGCATCCTAAACCAAATCTATCCCCAATAGTCTAGCCTCGCCGGGCTCGAACCAACCAATCAGAGATCTACAACACCTGCCATACAAAGCCTCATATGGAGCCATCTGAATACTCGATTGGTAGCTGTTGTTGTAAGAAAACTCTACAAGTGGTAGAAACTTATCCCATGAACCTCCAAAGTCAATACCACTAGCACGCAACATGTCCTCCATAGTACGCTCAGATTGTCCGTTCTTCTGAGGATGAAACGCTGTGCTCAACTCTACCTGAGTACCCAACTCTCTCTGCATGACTGTCTAAAACTACGAAGTAAACTAAGTACCTCTATCTGAGATGATGGATAACGGAACACCATGCAACCGAACAATCTCCCGGATATAAATCCCTGCCAACCACTCTGAAGAATAGGTAGTACACACAGGGATGAAGTGCACAGACTTGGTTAGCCGATCCACAATCACCCAAATTGCATCAAACTTCTTCAAAGTCTAAGGAAGACCACTCGCAAAATCCATGGTGACCCTCTCCCACTTCCACTCGGGAATAACCATCTACTGAAGCAAACCACCCGGTCTCTGATGCTCATATTTCACCTGCTGACAATTGAGACACCTAGCTACAAATCCCACGATATCTTTCTTCATTCTTATCCACTAATAGTGCTTCCTCAAATCCTGATACATCTACGCGATACCCAGATGAATGGAATACCGCGAGCTATGGGCCTCTTCCAGAATCAACGCTCTAAGCCCATCCACATTGGGCACACAAATCCGGCCCTGCATCCTTATCACACCATCATAACCGATGGTCACATCTCTGGCATCACCATGCTGAACTCTATCCTTAAGGACAAAAAATGCGGATCATCATACTGGCGCTCTTTGATGTGATCATATAAGGAAGACCGAGAAACCACACAAGCCAACACCCGACTGGGCTACAAAATATCCAATCTCACAAACCGATTGGCCAAGGCCTGAACATCAACTGTAAGGGGTCTCTCCCCAACTGAAATATATGCCAAACTCCCCATACTCAATGGCTTTCGGCTCAATGCATCGACCACCACGCTGGCCTTTCCCGGATGGTACAGAATAGTGATATCATAATCCGCAAGCAACTCCAACCATCTCCGCTGCCTCAAATTAAGATCTTTTTGCTTAAACAAATGCTAAAGACTACGATGATCAGTGAACACCTCACAAGATACACTATACAAGTAATGCCTCCAAATCTTCAATGCATGAACTATGGCAGCCAACTCCAAATCATGAATGGGGTAGTTCTTCTCATGGGGCTTCAACTGACGAGAAGCATAAGCAATAACTCTACCATCCTGCATCAACACATAACCAATCCCAACTCTCAAAGCATCACAATACACAGTATATGAACCTGAAGCTGATGGCAAAACCAACACTGGAGCTGTGGTCAAG